AAGATTATGTACTCCTTCGATGCAAATCCTTTATTTATTGACACACTCTTGTCCAAGACTATTACCATACTCTGTCATTACTTGCCTCTTGACAACCTTCCATTCACCATTCATCCACCTTACCCAGGGAAGTTATGATTGTTATGTACAGGTGACGTTCATTTCATAATTGACGTTGAAAACTTCCGACAATTTTATGGCGTAGCTAAGAGACGGCTTTTTAGATCGTTACTAAGTCGTGATTATACATCATGTATCGAAATTTGGTCGGTGATCTGATCGCTATAGCTCCTCCTTACAAGAGTTATACTGATGACATAGCATCTGTGACAGGCACGAGTACATGATCGGTTTATAAAAAAGCTCAACAAAATCTTACTAGCCTAACATGGGAAGAAGAGAATAGCTATCATCCACCGTTAATCGAAATACTCTTGAGTCGAAGAGAAAAGGGTTCAGCTGATCTGTAGCAAGCCTATGCGAATGGGACTATTTGAATTTTCACAGTTTTCTCCAATCCAATACAAACGAGGTTTGATAAAATGTCTGTTTACTAGGATCTGTCGTATCTGTACATCAGACACAATGGCTGACGAAATCAAATAGCTGGTAATGCACTTGCAGAAAGCTGTTATCTACTGAAGTTTAAAAACTTTTGTAGAAGGAGGCTAGAATCGAAGCCACTCTACACCTACTTACTCGGCCACTAAAGAAAACGTTCATACCGCAAAAACAGAAATTGAATAGTACAATTTTCAGACAGGCTAATATCCGTCATAAGTAAACTATATTATGCAGCGAAGCCTATCATTGTCGAAAAAATACAATACACAATTTAGCGCAAAACCGAACACCGCGTGAATGATTATGCGACACCCGTTGCTTTTACCAGTTTGTGTGGACACATACATAGAGAGGAGTAGTCGTGTCATGAAGTTGACGGTGGTAGGATATGTACTTAAATGGCTTTAAAAGTCAAGCTGCTATGAGCACAAATTGAGAAACCTTTTACGTTCATATCTATTTGTTATGGAAACGGGTCACTGAATTAAACGATATTTATTTTTATTATTTGAATTCCTCTCCAATTATCTCTTAGCATCAATAACACCAGTCTACTAAACCACGGTTATTGCAGATAGTCTGAATGGAAAACTAACCTTTTATCATTTCCGACTCATTGGGAATTACAAACAATTTAATCGTAAGCATCAAACTATTTTTGCGTTAATGTAATGTCTTAAATCTTCCTAAGGTATCTAGTCAATTAATTGAGATATCAATCTATGCTCAGATACATCTGATCATAGTATGTTTGGTGATACTCGTTGGGACACCAGAACTAAGGAATCGTGATATACGTACGTTGTGGCTGATTTACTTTGAAAACTTTTCTACTTTTGGGCTGAAGTTTGACGTCAAAGTATTCGTACAGAGGAACTGCCCGCTATCAAATAACTCGCGAGTTTTAAGGGTTAAAATGAAAATAAATTGAAGAACCTGTTGCGTTCCTCTTCATATCATGTTAGTACAGGTATTATTGAATGATGAAATGACTCGCACAGTTATTATCAGCAGCCTGGTAAATTATAACTACTTTTAATAAACTATTTCAAAACTACAGTGATTAGCAATACGATTTCCATTGAAAGTAATAAAGTATAAAATGAAATAAACATTTGGCTGTGGCAATTCGCCCATTGGTAATGCATTCAGTAAATAAGTAATTACAAACGAGGCATAAAATATTTCCAAATTTCATTCGACATATCAATACGGTTTTCCGTTATATTTAACAAAAGCTTCGCTACATCTCCAGTCATATCAGGATTCAAGTTAAGCAACTGTCTTACATTTTCGTTTATGGATTCCATAGAGAATGATTTAGATTCGTTACAATCCAATGCATCCATAGTGAATATATTCCTGTCGATACGTTATCTTTAGAACTGCAGGTTTTCTGACTATCGTTTGGTAAAGATCCGAAGGTGCAGTTTGAATGGTAACTTGATTGAGATTGCGTAATTATTATGTCACGTTGTTTGTCTTTGAATGTATTTATCTCGCTAGAAACTGGAATTTCAAACTCATCACTCGATACTGATTTGTTTAGATCTAGCTGAGCGTAATTTACATTTACTGCGTTATTGATGTTTAACATGCTTGTCTGCAAGTGGACCTGTGGCATGCATGATACATTTTCCCTGGGACACAACCTCGTTCGATCATCACAGCCATGCGCTTGTGCAAGTGCGGCACTCAAAGAAACATCAGAAGTTGTCTCTTGACTTTTCATATGAAGATTAGAAGTTAGTGAACAAACATTTATCCCCAGTTCATGGTTTACAGATGAAATAGTGTTCTGACAACTAGTGTGAGGTTCGCATTCCTGTTCATCAGTATTAGGAGTCAGGCATAAGTTCCTTGGTGGTATGGGTGGTGGTTTTATAGCTACACAGTTAGATGTAAGATTCAGTTTGTTGCATAAGTTACTTACCGAACAAGAAAGGGCATCTATGTTCGTGTTAGTAAGTTCATGAAGTAGTGGTTCTCGATGACAAAACGCAATAGACCCAGTGCTCTGAAAAACGCAATTAGTGGGACTGCTTACTGGTTTGTAGGGATCGACTATGATGTCTTCGATGCCTTTTATTTCCAAGCGACAGAATGGACATGTCCGACCGTTACCTGTAGATTGACAGTTACGCAAACAGTGTTTACATATCAAATGACCGCACGGTTCTAGTTGCGTATCCTTATTATTTTCATCACATATCTTACATAATTCGAAAGACGAACCCATCTCGCAATAAACCTGATATTGTTCCTTGGTAACTTGCAAATGAACTTCTAAGGGATTATGAGTTAAATGATACAGCAGTGCCATTGGACTAGGTTTTCCGTTTGGATATAAATAAAACCCTTCTTTTTCTCCATCAACTAAAGCTTGTGCCAAAGATTTATTTTGTATTATAGTCTGCAGTACTTTCAGTTCTCGAGTTATATAACCAATAGCCCACTGCCCTAATTTAGTGCATGATAAGCGAAAAATGTAAGTTCCAGGACCAGGGTGAGTACAGTAACGCTTGAGAACCGTCTTAACTTGGTCGTATGTCATGAAAGCCATATATCCTGGATGAAGAATAGCTAAAGCTTTCCACGTTTCCAGTATGTTGCACCATGGCTGAAACAGTCTCGTAAAGACGTCGAACTCGAAGATAGATACATAATCATTGCAGGTAAGGTCTATTGTCGTCTGGAGTGCAGATAATTGACTCTCGGAATCTATGCAGAAAGTTTGAAGTAGTGAGCATTTAAATAACTGCCACGAAACGATTGCACTATGTCCAAAATTCGACAACCACCAACGAGCTGCATCAGGTTTGGTTATACGGAAATCCATTGCAGCAAAAATATTGTGAGGAAAGAGTGCTTCCAAGTCCTTCAGTAAGTGCGAATATATCAGCGACAACTTAACTAGGCGAGAACGCGCATCTGAATTAGCATCAAATATCATTTCTCTAGAATTTTTAAACAAATTGATAGTTTGCTTGCATTTTTCTATCACAGTCGAAATGTATATTTGAAAGTATTCTATTCGAAAAAGAACACTGTAGTTATCGTCATAATGAGCAATAATACTCTGTAGCTTTTCGTATATATCTGGAATTATATCGAGAATATATGGCTGACTAATCTTCAAACTCAATTTCGGCTGTTGGCAAAGACGTACAACTTTATCAAGATATTTATAACAAAGTTCAACACATTTTCTATCAATCATTACACGTGCTTACAAATCCGATTGTACACAAACACGTTAGCAATCTGAAATAAAAGTATGAAAGATATTTTCAGTTTCAAATAATCACGCAATAAGATGAACTAGTGACAATTTTAACATATAATTTGAACAAGTGAAGAGAGAGAGATTGACAACTGAGGCCTTGTTTATCAAATCAACACCTAACACCTGTAATCGAAATCATGCAACACCATTTCCGGAGGTGTGAAGAATTTCACCACCAATTAAACCAGAGAAAGGAGTAAAAGGAACTATAAAAAGCAGCCCATAGATATTTGTACTCACCTTGCCTCGATATGAGCAATAAATTCTGCTTGGAACTTCAGCGGCAAATAATACTCTTTTACTTCGTGACCCCCTGGAAAAAGAACTTTTATCGAATCACAGTGCTTAGACTCCCTTCTCATATTAAAATTATTCCTCAATGGGATATCTGCTTTTAAAAAAAGGACATTCATGAGCTGACGTGATGAATATATGTAACTAACCCTCAAACCAAAAGTGGCTACCTATGAATCAACATTTAGCACATGGTATTCTTATTTCGTCTCTAGTACGTGTTTAGTCGGATATGAACAATTTCAATGCTTTCATCTACAAGCAAGTAAGATAAGTGCGATTTTGTCCATTCTCGAGAGAGATCCTGAATCAGTGAGCTGATTAATCATGAAACTCAAAACTGTCAACGTAGGACCAGGCACTATTCCGTAGTGGTCCGAGTTGCCACAGCTCATATCAGTACGTCCAGTGAAAAGGCAGTGAAGTGGAAGATGAAGAAAAGAAAATTCAGTCAGAAGAAATATAAAGTAACAAAAGAGAGGAAGGAAGAATGAGAAAACGGTGAGATTCGGCACAGCGTTGAGATGAGGATAACGTGTTTACACATCTGGGCCACTGACATCGGTTCTCAGCCATATCTCCTAGAGTCTTCAACCACTGGTTCCTCTTGTCCTGCAGACCCCAACCGGCTAGTCTGCATCGCCCCACATGGCTAAAACTAACAGCCAAAGACTTCATACATTGGTGCCATGTTTTAGTCTGGCCACCTCGGGTATTTTTCCAGCCTGGACTTACTTCGGCCAACATTGTGTGACTAGGCAAACGACGACTAGGCATAACCAGACATAACACATGTCCCAACTATCTCAGTCGATGAAGGTTCACAACTGTATCAACTAACTTACCTCTTCTCCCCAAAACTCTACACCTGACTTCTGCGTTACTCACGTGGTGACACCACGGAATACGGCCTATACTACGAAGGCGACGGTAGTCAAACACTTGAAGCCTTCTCATGTCTCCCACCGTCAATGCCCATGTTTCACAGCCATATAGTAAACAGAGTGGACTGCTGTGCAGTACGCGCGACCCTTCATAGATAGTCGGGTATCACGGCGGAGCCACAGGCGGCGTACGTTGATGATGGCCAACCGAGCTTTTGCATTCATCCAGAGATTTCATCAGCCACTAACCCACCAAGACTGATCCTACTTCCCGGGTAAGTGAAGTGGTCAACACTCTCAACCACTACACTCTATTGTCAGCCGAGGCAGTGTTGAAGACCGATTGTGGAGCGACAATTTGCATTTGGGTGGTGAGAAACGCATCCCAAACATTCTCGAATTGCCACTCAAAGTGTTCAGCAGACTCTGCATCTTGTCAGCGTCTTCGCCTAACAGGACTATGTCATCTGTGTATTCTAGCTGTAACGAAAATTCTCCCGCGACTAGGTCAACCTCTGTGTAGTCAGGTGACGAGAGGGAAACCTCCATAAGAATATCTATGATAAAATTGAATAAGAATGGAGAGAGTGGGGAGCCTTGACGGACATCACTCTACGAGCACAGCTTCCCGAACATCTCACCATAGGCTCTAACACGTTCACAAGTGTTCGAGTAGAGAGCTTTCAATAAGGTGGTGTACAATTACTCGGCACGCCTTTCAGTGACAGACATTACCATAAGACTTCTCCATCAACGGAGTGGAAAGCCCCCGCCTTCAGGTCGAGAAATGCAGCTATTGTCGGGCGTCGGTAAGCGTGCCTGTGTTCCAGGACCTGGCGTAGTGTGAATATATGGTCGATACACTTGCGGCTGGGTCTAAAGCTTGTCTGACTGGTTTTCCCGAACTTGGTGTTCCCGAGCCCCACTCAGGCATCGGGAACAGCGAGCACGTCAGGGAAGAGATCACTTCTAGAATAGGTAACCTCATGCCCACCCATTAGCAGCTGATAATAACGTATATCTATGTATTTGGTGTTGATTTGAGGTCGAAGGACAGCACGTCAGACTGTCACCCTGTATCCGCGCCCACCGAATTTATATTCTGAGCGCAACTGTATGACATAACCGCCACTATTCATACGTGCATGCATGAAATTGTAGGGACCTGAGTCCAGGACCGTTAACTTTCGTGGTGAGCACGCTGCCAGTCTGCCACAGTTGATAACCAATGATTGAGTATCCTACTTTTGACTTCATATATATATATATATATATATATATATATATATATATATATATATATATATATATAACTGAATTCCAATAATTGATTCTGATATTACCTTACACACAAGACTCAAGAGAATTCCAGGCTATAAAGTTTTACTTACAAACTGCTGTTAACACAACACTAAACAATGTGGACATTTAACTGTACAACCTCAAGTTGTTAAAGAGAATATTCTTTGTTCATCCAAGTTTCTTGTTAATTCGTGGTACAACGCGAACCTCATACAATGTCATCAGACAGCATCTATTTATTCCCCCACCCTAAGCTGTTCGACCACATAGGTCACGACTTTTTACCAAGCCTCCACCTTGAAGACCGTCACTAATTGTCAGTGAATATAAATTCAGTTCATGGTTCATTTATGTCAAGGTAGTTTATCACGGACTGAAATCGGTTGCAGAACTATATAAATCCTTAGAGCACTAAATGACAGTTTCGTTCCATTTGGAAACCGATCGGTCTAAATAAATCACCCATTAAATTACTATCCAGTGCACTTCTGAGAATTCCTTAACTAGGGCGAAAGAGCTGTCTTATGAGCTCAGGTTTCATTGTTTTGCCGTCATATGTCATCTGGTGATAGAAACTACTTAAGAATCGAAATATGCTAAAAGAAGCAATAATGGGAGCTCCAAGTAGTGGTCGGCGCACTAAGAATGACATCATTGTACACAAAAGTTAAGTGGCTACATGAGTTATGCCTCTTTTCTTCGTAATGAGGAGGTTGGCTTATATGGCGTTTTTTAAGCGTTAAGTGATTCCTATCCAAACCCGACTGATAAAGTTAGCGGCAGCGTTTGTTGACATGTCTTAAAAATTGCGTTGATGGAACCCTCAAAGATAATTTTGTTGAGAACGAAGTGTAATTGCCAGATGACTAATTTTTCTACATGATCGTAAACTCCTATCCATTACTGAATACTGGATCTTTGTGCCACAAAAATCTACACAAAGAAAGGGAAATCCCACCGGAATCCTAAAGAAATGTGACGTAAGGATAAGCAAAAATATAATTTGTGGATGCACATGCAACTCTGAAATTGATTCGCAGCCATATCACCTAGATTCCCCAGAGTGAAAGTTTGTTGAGTCATACGGCTCAACAAAATAAGCACGGGTTTCAAACCCTTATGCCAAGTTTTGGTCTGACCACTTTCAGTTCAACTAAAAGTAACGAAGTACATAAAGCAGTGAGCGACTCCTATTATGTGAAGGCTTATGCTACCGCTTGCTTACCCAAATCAAGCTATGTGGGTCGGTGTTTGAACTCTCTGACCTATTAGTTGGAAGTCAATTGATTAAACCAATGAGCCACACCTAACTTTAGAGCACTAATTTCCAAGAAAAACATGTTCACTGACGCGTGATCGGTAATCTCACTGCACATGATTGTGACGTGCTACATAAAATATAATCCTGTAAATCCCAAAAGACTACATGTAAACTTCAGTTGCAAACACTACCGCAGATATTATGTATTCGAGTTAAGATTTCTTTAGCAACCACCTCGTTCGAGCTGATGCAACTCCCACGTCAGTGAAGTGTTTGACACATCCCAACACTTTACTCCCTTAAACTAGAAACGATTGCAGACCAGTTCTGGAGCATCATCTGACATCTGATAGGTACGAAACGCATGTCAAACATACTCAGATTTCCGCTCAGCGCATTCGGAAGATCCTACACTTCGTCATCGTCTTCATCTAGCAGAACAATGTGGTTTGCGTACCCCAAGTCAACCGCATGCTCTCCAGGAAGTCGATCAGTCCTTATCAAGCCAACCGTGCCTAAGATTGTTTATTAGTACATCTATAACGAAATTAAACAAGAACAGTGACGGTGAGTACCCCTAGCAGATACCATAGATTGTCGTTAGTTCAGATGGCAACTCACCATAGGCCCTAGCATGGCTGTATGAGTTCGAGCAGAAAGCTTTGATTAGTCTTACATACCTGTTCGGCACTCGCCTCTCAGTCAGATACTGTCACAACACTACGGTCGGTATTCGAATGCTGCTTTCAGGTCAAGCATGCTGAGTGTCGGCCGCCTGTAAGTATAATTGTGTTCTATAAGCTGCGAAAGGCTGAAGATTTGACTGATGTCCTGTTTGGTTTCTTCAAGCTCCAGTTAGGTCTCGGACAACTATGGAATCAAGGATGTGCGTGGTATTCGTTAAACTGATTCATCTATGGTTTTCACAAGAAGACTTCTCTCTCTTATTAACTGAAACGATCAGTGAAGCAGATCAATCTGACTACTCAGTACCTCCGTTACTCTAATCAGCAATTTTCCTATCTCCATTCCTGAAACTGTCGGATGAGGAACTGTCACGTCTCACTGCTATGTATCGTTTCGCGTTTGAAACAGCTTTGTGAACTTTGATGGGTTGTGTTTCCGACATCCACCTCTCAGTAAGGTTCGGGCTGAATGCTGGGCAATGTACGTGGAGCTATATGCCAGTTGGACTTTTCGCAGTGTTACCCCGAAATTTCCAGACAGTAACCCTCAAATCCTATCAGGTACACTTTTTTTCTTTGTTTGTCTCACACAATTGTTTTTTTTTGCCGATCTCTTTTAAGAGTTTAAATCACTGACCTCTTTAAATCTCCCACTTTCGTCGCTCACCACTGCTTGCAGACATTCATGGACTGACAGTCGATTTGAGTGCAAGATTCTTCCTTTTATCCCTGTGGTTACAGCCAAATGGAATAAGTTTTCTCACACTGATCAGCTGCAGAGATTTACTGGCTTTTGCCAATCTTTGGATGAAGTTAACATTCGTGTTTGCTGGTGCTTTAACAAGAAATAACGTTTTATCACACTTCATCCAAAAATGAGTTGCTGCCACATTTGAGAAATAACTAAGTATATTGTTGTCAAATTCTAAGTCCATGTTTTAATTTCCTTGCGAGCAGATGTTAAGATGAAGATTGAAGCCATTTGAGGACTGTAAGGTGCAACTGTTTACAATCATGTTGTTACATTGACAGTTGGGTTAGCTTCTCAGCAGATACTCCAAAGGAAAGATGAGATATCTTTTAGCAACACTCCGAGAAATATCCTACTTAGAAGTTTGCA